ACAAAACTGGCAATTGAACAAGAATGATTTGTCGGGATTTAAAGACACTATTAGGCAACATGTTGGAAAACACGGTTTTCTTTTTGGCGGATCCATAAGTTCTGGCAAATAATAAATAATTTGCTTTACGATAATCATTATCAAGGTACAAAGATAAATAATACTGCATGTGGGAATATACCTTTTAAATACACGTCGTCTCATTGAGAAAAAAATATTATGGATAAACGAGGTTCGATGATAATAAGATTACATTGCATATATTCATTAGGTTTCCTTTTCTTTTATTTGAATTTTCTTAGTGCCCTTAACAACCTTAATTTAGACCACAAAATGATTTGTTTTACTTATAGTTGCATTATATTCCTAAAATATATTATAGCTTCAATTTTGATGGTCCAATTTTTAGCATCCACTTAAAGCATTAATGCATAAAAATTGTGTATCCTGAGAAATGTATTGCTAAAAAATAGGTAAAATTTGAGTCTTAGGAAATTTGTGAATAAAAATAGAGTTCGACAGATACTTTAATTTCTCCCACAACTGTAACCATAATGACGTCAGAGGGGAGGAAAAAGGACATGCTTTCTCCAAGATAGAAGGTTTGTCATTTCNTAATGACGTCAGTGGGGAGGAAAAAGGACATGCCTTCTCCAACTCCAAGATAGAATGTTTGTCATTTCGCCTATCCTGTAATGGGCCTGTGGTTGGGATTACCTCTCTCCGATGAGTCTAGATTCGCTACACGTCGAACCTTTGGGCCAAAATCCCTTTGTAGCCATAATGATGTTGAAGGGGAGGAAAAATGACATGCTTTCTCCAAGAAAGACTGTTCGTCATTTTGCTTATCTTGTAATGGGCCTAGGGTTGGGATTTCCTCTCTCCAATGAGTCTAGGTTAGCTACACGTCGAACCTTTGGGGGGCAAATCCCTTTAAGTATCGTGCTGGTGGTATCAACTTGGGTTTAGTCTCTAGTGGAGCGAACCTAGGTTCATGGTTTGCCTCCACTTCATGATGATTCTTTGATCGACTATGCAAGGCTACCACGTGGTTCGCTAAACGAGACATCTGTGTCTTTTGATTTGACATGAGGCTCTAATGGTGATGTCAGCGTTAATCGGAGATATAACAAAAGTGTTTATAGAAGTTAAATTCTTTTACAAAATTAATTTTAAATTTTAGTTATATTCTCCTCTTTTTTTTTCATATCAAGATCCCACTTTACTACTTAAATAAAACCAAAAAAGTCGTAATGGGGCGGCTGACAAAGTATTAATTACATTGCCATCAATTTGATCCACACACTGAAAGAATATGATCATGAAAGCTGCCTAATCAACCCCCACAAGTTGTAGGATATGATCCCATCATCAATGCCTAAATTTATTCACAAACAGATTTTCTTTGGTCTCTCGTAGTGCCATCTTCATTAGAGCAAATTTTTGGATGTGGAACACACCATGTGACTGGCTTCATCTAATTTCTTTTTCCAATTTTCACATATTTAATAAATTTTGCATTTTGAATTGAGTAAACGGAATTCCATACTCGAAAAATTTGTAACTTCCTTTAATGAGGGTTTTACTATCAAAAAAGCATTAACAATGATGAACTATTTGCAACACTTCCGCTTTTTCGAGAAATAAAATTTGGAATGAATATAGTAGGAAAATGCAAGCAAAGTCTTGCATCGACCAGACATGTGGTAGATAATGAATTTATAATAAAATTAAGAGGTTAACATTTTGATATGAAACTCTTGCTCCTAACAAGTGTCAAGTGGTATCAAAGTTAGGTATATTTTCGTAGCTAATTACTAAAAAGTCACAAATCTTGCATAGCTGAGCATCAATTATGGTATTAACAAATGATTGGACAATGTGATATTCTATAATTCTGTTCTCGAAAAGAACATGAGACGATTATTTATCAATGTTCTAAAAAGCGTAAAGCGTGCAGGCGAAACTTCAAATTTTACGAGTTTAAACGAGCCAAAGCGTACTTAGGCTTAAAAAAGAGTTTTTTTAAAATATTTTAAAAATTATGTAATAATTAAAATAATACATATCAAACATCTAAACTTATAAAATATTATATTTACTTAATAATTTCTATCAATAATCAATTACACAATTTTCAAGTTTTCGAAATGCAAAAATTAACATATTTTTCATAGTTTCAATTTTCAACTAAACAAATCATACTTAATAAAATTATAAGAATTTCATACATGCTTTTGGGATTTACAACAAAATAACAAGTTTCAAGATCATAATTACATAATGTAGATAACACAATAACTTTAATCTTATTTAACTATTTAGATAAAGTCATTTTTAACTTTTGTAAAGATAAAATCTTTTAAAAACTTGAAATTAAAGTCAAATGAAAAGTTTTTAAAAAAATTCTAAAAAAATAATAAGCTAAAGTCAAATAAAAGATTAAAAAAAAAAGAAAAAAAACTAATAAAATACGCATAGGGAAGATGAAAGAGAGGAAGGCAAAATTCAACCATTTAGAAATTGGAAAAAAAAATGGTCTAGGAGTGAAGCAAAGCGTTTTGCCCAAATTTCGAGTCAAGGCAAACATTTTAGAATACTGTTATTTATACCATCCAACTCGAGCAAGATTCAAAAGTTTATTATGAAAAATATCATGGTGGACTTGGTGTTAGTTTAATTGATTACATGAAATAATTATCAACCTAAGTTATATATGGTGATGGAAAATTTATTGTCCTAGCCAGCCACTTTTAAGTTGTGTTTATATTCAAATGACAAAAAGTTCATAGGAAGAGTAACTTTATTCAAGTGCACAATTTTTCAAATCTATGATTATGCATACAAATCCTACTTTCATTTCATTCTCATATATCTATTCAGTTGTCATTAAAACTTCAAAAGACACAAAAAGCATCCAATCCAAAAAAATCACCACTAATTAATTCTTTAGTGTGTTTCTTGATATTTAATAATTTAACCTAATTTGAATCCCTTTGTCATGATTATTATTAATAATTGATGACCAGACCATATAAAAATTCTACACATAAAGAGTGGCACTCACATTTTGAAAGACCTTTTTTGGGGTTGATATGGAAAGGGTTTAGCTTTTTACTCAATAAACCTCTTTTTCACTTAATAAATTTAAAATATCAATTTATTTTTTTTAATATTAGTTTGGCTCTCTACTCGATTGATTAGCTCGACTCGTTATTTGATCAGATTAAGTTTGACATAAACATTTCATTCGTTTTACTTTTATTATTATTCTCTTCTTATCCCATCTAACTTATCTTTCTTATTTGTATTCATTTCACTCAAATCCTTAAACGTACTCGAGAAATTTATTTCTTTACATTTTTCCCTCCGAAATTGCCCCATGGGGATAAAATTTCTAAGCAAAAGAACGAAGAATTTAGATGAGAAAATGTTTGTAATGAAAAGGCATGCAAAGTAGCAACTAGTTTAGACTAGAAGAAAGTGCCATTTTTTGGGGATGCAATTGTATCATGTGCTTTTGGCCATGCATTTTTGGATGTTCAAATGACATATTTGTGTTTTCGTGCTTACACATAAAGCTTCCCCTACTTGTACACTTTTATGTACATCCTTATTTACATAATGTTGAGTTGTCAATTTCTCATTGACTGGTGACATTTTGTCTTTTGTGCAACAACGAATGAAAAATTGCCAACTCAACATTCTGTAAACAAGAGTGTAAACAAAGGTGTACAAGACTGCTGCAACAATATTATTTAAGCTACAACTCATTAATTCATTTCAATTTTTTCCCTACAAATTAGTTCCAATCTTTTCTCCTCTTTCAACCATTTGATTTCGTTCAAGACTTCAATCGCCTTATAAAATTATAGTCTCGACTAATATTCCTTTATATTTCGTATATACATATATTATTAAATGAGTGCTGAACCTCAAAGAAAGATCATTTTTTGGCCTAAAAATCGAAAAAAAAAAATTTGATTTAGTGATTAATTAATAATTTAACAAGAGATTTCTAAGTCACCGATTTTTATTTTTTACATTTTTTGTTCATTTATTAATAATTCGGTCAGGATATGTTTATTATGCAATATTGAATTATATTAAACAGATAATAGGTCAAATTTTAACTCGTTTTCTTGTTCAATCATATTCAATATTATCCTATGTTTCAATCTAACAGACATATCATCACTTTTATTAAATAATTTTCTTCGTTTTTGCTTATCATTTACTCTTAAGATTTTCGTCACTAGCTAAACGTTACATATACGTACATGAAGTCAATCCTAAAACTAGGAAAATTGGTCTGAATGTGAATATGGTCCCACATTACAAGTTCATTTATTTGAGATCAAAGAGTGTATATATCTGAAAAACTAAAAAAAGGGTTACCATATTTCTTGACTCTTTCAATTCTTGTTTCATTTTTCTAACATAAAGACCTAAGGTAGAACATGTTTGGCTGAGCTTAAAAATAAAATTTACTATCAGGAAAATAAGTAAACGCGTAATCTTTCGTAGAAGTTAGAAATAAATAATTTCGACACTTTTAGTTGTTTTAAACTTAGCAAAAATATGCATTATTTCATTACGTATTTCAAGAAATCAACCAAATAAAGTAATTATTGCTAGCTGCCACTCATATTAATTACTTGATAATCAGTATTTCGAATTCTGAAAGCTGATTCCATCTTTTTTTTTTCCTTCGTACACGTAGAAATAATCTATGTTAGACATTTTCTCGTATGACCTAGTCATTTTAATTAAAATAGTAAGATAACCGATGCATGTGAGAAATTTTTCCCTTGAAAAAAAAATAAATGAATAAACCTGAAAAATGTACAATATCTGGATAATTGATAAATTTACACGGGCTTGGGCTTTCCAGCTGGTTTACCAAGCCGCGTAATACAGCTTAGGCTCCTGATCCTCAAGCAATGATGAATAAGATAAGATAAGCCAAGCCAAGCCAAGCCAACCAGCCTAACCTGATGTCACGGCGCGGCTGGCGCAAGGCTAAGATGCAAATCGAGCCCAAATCCATCATCTACACTGGGTCCACCGTCTGCAGTAGAGAATCTACTTAACGATGGCCCATCTAGCCTTCCATTATGGGCCTTGATCGCCTGAGGCCCAATATTTGTCAGGTTGGACTCACCTACACTGACGGTACACGATAAGTTCCCTGCACCCCTCCCAGTTGACCATGTCGGGAACACGCACCCGTGCGACACCTGGAAGGGCTGCGCGGCGCGTGGAACATACAACCACGGTGGGGACGAAGGTGCAGCAGAAGGAACCACCACAGAGCCTGTAGGAGCGAGGAGGTGGGTCGGTGGAGCAAAGGCGGAGACTATAGGGTTCCGCATGTAGGACACTGCAGCGTTTCTACTGGCTTGCATTTGTGCACGTTTCAACTGTTGCCTCTCTTTCTTATGGGCATTTTGGTGACCACCCAGAGCTTGTGAATTGGCAAACTCCCGGCAGCAGTACTGGCACTCGTATTTCCGTCCATCGGGTGCTGGTAAACCGCCAGAGTCCGGCGAGCCTGATGGTGTTTTAGTGGAGTCTACTTCTTCTTCTTCCGTTACGTTGAAACCGAAGAGCTTTAAGCGTCCATTACTTGTATTATTATTGCATGGTTTGCTTTGATACTCTAACTCTTCCATGCTATATAAATTATATGTATGTATTTGTGTATGAATATTGTAGAGAGAGACAGAGAGAGTATGATTAAGGGGTGGTTTAAGATAATTGCTGCATGTGAGGGGTATTTATACAAGTTTAAAAGAGTTTGAAGTTTTCTTGACAGTGTTGGAGAGATAAAGAGGAGCGGGGGTGGGTAGGGTAGTAGGTTGCAGGGTAGGGTAGGGGGCTGCGTACATTCCAAGAAGAAGATATAGCAGTAAGAATGTATTATTTTGTCCAAAATATATTTTGAAATGGTATTTTGACGATGAATGTGTAATTGAAAAATAAGGAAAAATTTTGAGTTTGCGTATAATATTATTTTATTAAAAAATACGTTATTAAAAATAAGATAAAGAAAAAAGTATTTTAAAAATAATGAAAACCAGACGAAGGCTAAGTGTGGAAATGGGTACACAAACATATAACACTTGGGCACCAATAGATTGTACTTGTCTTCTTGCCACCATCATATTTCATTTTCTCACTAATTGGGAAGTTGCTCCAATATCATTAAATGCTTCACTCGAAAATAATCTATGTCATGTAAGCAAAAATAAATAGTGTTAAAATTAATAATTTCCAATGCAATTTCGCATGGATTTTATCAAGTTGATGTGACAACAAAAAGAAAGATATTGCCAAGAGTTTCGTCTAAATTTAGAAATTCTGTTGGATAGATCCACTTAATTAGAAATAAGTATATTCGTATACATCATTAGATGTGATTTTATTTCTATTTAAAAAAATCAAAGACACGAATTGTGGATAGAATTCACTGGAGATCAATTATTAGACTTGATTATCTACGCGTTAAACGTCAATGTTAGGTTAACAGCAAGACTTTCAACTTCCATTCACCTAGACGGCAATCCATAGAATGAATTGGAGATGCTTAGAGGGTGCCAAAATTTGAAATTTGGAAGGGTGGGAATTCATTTTGCTGTTGAGAAGAATTGATGCAAGTTTGTAGTGTTGGTTCAACTATCAAATGATTCATTTTCTTGCAACCTTAATTTCTTGCTCTTTGTTAGGAAGTGAAAACCATTAGTGAGAACTTGAATATGGAAAATATTTTGAAACAAAAAAGAGCAAGTGCTTGTTTAGTAGGTTAAATGAACATGAAAACTGATAAAAGTATCACATATCTCTTCTACATTTAATTCAATCCAAAGTACCATATTAAACATTGGTACGAATGTAGCAAAAGACAATTATCATCATTGAATCCATACGATAAAAATAATAAAAAAACATGACTATATGATTGTGACAATAAAATAAGGAAAGTCGGCCTATATAAATGGGACGAATGGAGCTAGTATTGTACTTTGCACGACTAATCACAATCAATAATCAACATTAACGAAAATTAACTTTTTTATTAATAAAATTTCAAAAAGATTAAATTATGGTCCACTTCTCTTGGTTGAGATTATAGGCTCCAAATAATATTAGTAGGGAAAAACCAACATTAATTAAATTATTAAATCATAGAAATCCAACGTAGCCCGCAAACTGATAAGGAACACTTTAAACCTAGAAATGGTTAGTACTATAATCATAAAGTTTAACTGGGATTATTTAAGGTAGCATTCCAATTACAAGTTGACACGTTCTCTCCCAACATAGGCACAAATAAGAGATCTTTTGACAAAACGTTTTGATAGACAACCATGGCGTGGAATCGAGCTCGAAATATTTGGTCATAAGTGCATTTTTCTTTGAAATATTATTGTTTGAGTACAACTGTCGATATTTATTAATATCTTTTCTTAAAATATTCTTGTTAATTATATATATATATGAGAAAAATAAAGATATTTATAGATTATTCTAATTTTTACGTATACTAAACTATTATAATTACATTATTTTATTTCACTTTAAAGTTTGGACCTAAACATTGTGCTACTCATGGTATTTCACGATTAGTATGTAGGAAAATTGTTTCAATAT